TTGGTTCTGTAATGTCCTACATGAGATAGTGATGATTCCGTGTAGGATTCTATGTGTCACGTGGCAGGCGGAGGCCAGGCCTCAGGCTCAGTTCCCACCCCCTCCCCGTGTACCTGATTTGCACAGCCACCACCCATTTCATCACGGGCTTGCATGTTGCTGTGAGGCCAAACAGGTTTCAGCAGAGCTTCCAAACTAAGATGGTCCAGGAAGAAAGGCCTGGCGATTTACTTCCCACAGATAGCCAGTGAAAATCCTGTGGTCACAGTACCGATCCTGGAGACCGTGCAGCCCTGGGCTGTGCTGACTTCTGTGGTGCAGCAGAGCCATGAGTTCAGGGCGACTCTGTGGCAGCTAGATCAAAGGACGAGTAGCCACGGCCTTGGCTTTCAGCACACATAGGGTAGGGCTTTAGCAAGGTCGTGGGGAAAATGCCAGTAATTTTCATTCCGTTTTCCACAGATTTTCAGAAGACCCACTCTGTGCTGGCCTCTGCCCTCTGTCAGGTGTGGGGTCAGCACACAGTGAGGATGGCATGGACCTAGATGATCACTAGTGACAGTTTCAGGAAAGCTGTCTCAGCACTAAGCATGGAGTTGGCACCAGAGTTACGGGACTTTCAAAGAATTGAGACGTCTTGATAAAGAGATCAGATTTGGACTAGACCTTAAAAGACAAGTAGGTTTTCAGTGGGAACTTGGGATAAGGTTGCCACATACTATGTTATATGTTGTTTATAGGAAATTGACACTTAACTGGCCAATCCTGGATTTATGCGACTCTAAATTGGGGAAGCGGTAGGGGGAGGCGGGGGTGTTTAGTGACTAGACCGACATCACCAGTTGAAAGACCAGAGTAGGGTAGTGTGAGAGGGATGGGTGGGTGTAGGGTGGCAGGTTTCGAAAGAGCCTCACTCACACACCCTTGGGCTGCCCTGGGATCAGCCTGTGAGCACGCAGTGCCTGCCACTCGTTCCTGCAGTGTCCGCACTGGTACCTTGGAGCAGATGCTGTTGAGGGGAAGCAGCGGGGCTGGGGGAAAGGCAGGGAATGTGAAACTGACCCACCACACGTGTGTCCACGGGTCAAGATTGTACCTGCTCCGGTGAAGCTCCCGTTGGCTGTAGATACCCTCCTGCGAAGAGCAAATCATGCTTCACTCACGACTTCTCCGTTCTCTGTGACTCTGTTGTGCCTGGTGTAATGCTTGCTTTTTCAGGGCGGTTAGTGTCCGGCTATGGACTTTTAGAAGACCTGCAAGGGTGGCTGGGCCAAGCCACTCAGGCGAGACCACCTGGAGTGCAGCCTTGCTTTGAGGCCCTGTGATGGGCAGGCTGCCCGCTGGGGCCTAGGACGCTTGACTTCATCACAGCAGCCTGGCACAGGGTGAGGGTGAACAGGCTACAGGATGAGGCCCGTCGGGTGCCCGTAGGTGGTGGAGAGTGGGGCCAGCCTTTCCTAAAGAAGCCACGTAGAGAAGCTGGCTCTGTGACCTGAGGAAAGGGCAGGTGGCCGGGGCAGGCAGCAGGAGTGGGCATTGATGACAGCATTGATGACAGCTTCATAACCTTGTGCTGTTTGTTTCCCGCCTCTGCTTTGAAGGGGGAGTGACAAGGTATGGTCAGCGGAGTCCTCTACACAGACCTTGAAAATGCCCATCGTTAGACAGGCAGTAGAGGCTGGATCACGGGAGGGGCTCGGAAGGCTGTTTCCTGCAATAGTGACGGCCCCCTCCCCACTCCCATTTGTATTCCACAGGACAGAAACTTTGAATAAGGGCATAAGACATACGCTTGCCAGCCTTTAAAACAGCCAGAACCCAAATATTTTGTGTGCGGACTGAATGGTTGCATTTACCCAAATGAAGAGCTTAGCATGCTTTCTGATTGTTTCCTGACTTGATTGACCTATTTTCACTGGAACATGTACTTGTCACAGACCGGCACCCGTCGGTCTCTGGTGCAGCTCACCTCCCTCAACAAATAAAAAACTGAGGCCCCCAAGAGGCCAAGGGCTCCCAGGGTTGCAGGGCTAGCGGTGGGTAGAGACTAGATCCAGAGTCCCTGTGTTCTCAGCCTGTCCCCAGCCCTGTGGTCCCGCAGGGCTGTTAGGCCAGAGTGGAAACTCCAGGTCCCTGAGTTTGCTGCTTGTCTGCTGCCCGCCCCTCAGTGGGTGTTTGCGCTGCCTCTCAGGGACCACCAGTGAGGCTGCTCTCAATGGCACCTATCTCAGCTTGGTCCCTGATGGTATATTCCTTCATTAGAGATGCTTACCACACACCAATTTGGAAATTAGAAATGAGCTTGGTTCCCCCTAACTTCCCTCCCCTCAAAGCACTTACTGTGTGCCGGGTGCTGCCGTTGGCGCTGGGGACACACAGAGAACAAGGTGAAACCCCTTCCCTAGTAACATTCTTTTTCTGGGGCAGGAGACTGACAACCAGTACATTGGTTAAAAGTCTCACTTTAGTGAGCTGGGAGGAAACTGTTGAAATATTTTGATCCATGAATTAGCCTCTTGGACAACAGGGAGGCCAGGCCATTTTCTACCAGGTTCACTATCTTGTTAACTTTGCTGGGTTGAATGAATGGGAAGGGGGAAACAGAGACCCCTGGGGGTTAGAAGAGCTGACTTCTTTCGGGTTGTCTTCATTCAGCACCGCGGAGTGAAGTCGGATGTGATCTGGGCTGGAGGTGCCGTTGGAGGAAGGCAAGCAGATAGCAGATGGTGTTGAGTACCATGTCTGGGAGGAGAGAGCAGGCACACAGATGTGAATGATGAGCCACGGGCATTTCCATGTGCTGGGCACTCTCTTGAATGCTGCACTGTCATGGGACCCTGAAAGCACCCGGGTGGATTGGTGTATCGTGTCCCCACTTCAGAGGAAGGAAACTGCAACATAAAGTGACCTGTCCAAGGCCATGTGGCCAATAAAAAGTAAGTGATCAGGCAGCCGTAACTTCAGAATCCATTCCATGATCCAGGATAAATTCAGTTGACAATATCAGGGTCCAACCAGACCCATTGGAAGTTCAGGGTAAAAGTCTGAGCCCAGCAGGTAATCAGAAGCAGCAGCCCAAGATTCGGGAAAGGCAGGCACACAAGCATGACCACTTCCAGGTGCCAGCTGCCTGAGCCCTGACTATTAAAATTGTTTGGTCTCTGGAGGCATAACAGTTGTGTGTTGAGCTGCAATGCACAAGGTTAGCAGTTCAAACTCTGCAGGAGAAAGATGAGGCTTTCCTCTCCCATGAAGAGCTACAGCCCCAGAAACGAGCAGACACGGTTCTAACCTGTCCTATGGGGTCGCCATGAGTAGACTCAATGGCGGTGAGTTTTTTTGGTTTGACCTCGGCTAAAACTTTATTCCCAGTGAAGGACCCCATGGCCATAGCTGAGAAGGAGTGGCGATAGCAGAAGGTCATTTGCCACCGCAGTTTGCCTTTGGGGTGTACCATTCTTCCCCTTAACTGGACATTAAGCCAGAACTAGAGTGGAAGAGCAGGGACTTGGGAGTTAATGCAACCTGGGCTTGATTTCAGCCTGCATTGCTGCTGGGG